CGCCGACGTCGACAACGCAGTGCAGATACATCGCTGATACATCGTCCCCCTCCAGGGTCAGGTAGCACAGTCAGGATGAGCAGCTTTCCGAGGCTACCCTTGCATCCTTGCCCCCTCGGCCCATCCTTGGCGACTTTTACTGGACAGCCCCGCTCGAAAATTCCAACATGGCCCTCCAAGGCCCTGGCATCCTTACCTCGCATCCTCATTGTGCACCTCGGCCGTACTCGGACCCTACCTGAGCAATGAAAAAACGGAGTCGTCTGCGCCGACATTGGCGCGTAAGCTGCCCGCGTAAGGTCGCGCGTGAGCGCCCTCGTCTCCAACGTGGCGTGCCGCGCTGGCGGCCAGCGCAAGCCACCGCGTAGGGTCGCTATGCCATCTCGCGTAAGGCCCGCTGTCGATCGTCGCTCGCCTGAGCGACGCAAAGAAGAAGATCGGGGCCGTCTGCGCCGACATTGGCGCGCAAGCTGCCCGCGCAAGGTCGCGCGTGAGCGTCTTCGCCTCCGATGGTAGCGCGCCGCGCCGGCGGGCCCCGCGCAGGGGCGCGCCTTCGCCAGCTCTCTCGCGCTCGGTCGGGCCGGGGTGTGAGACCGAGGTCGGTTCGGGGAGGGCGCACTCCGACCCCACACGTGTCGGCGGCGAGCGATGGGGGTGGGAAAGGTGAAGGAGAGGGCCTTCTGAGAAGGCGGCGGGCCTTCTCGGAAGCCCTCGCGCCGTCCGAGAAGTTTTCCGTGCCTTCGGGGGAGGCTCAGAAAACTTCTCAGACGGCCGGGGGGGATGTCCGAGCCTCCTGAGAAGGCCCGCCCCTTCTCGGACGCCTGCTGCTCTTTCGGCCCCAGCTCGGCTCTCCGGTGGCTGTTCGGGCCGATCCAGGCACCCTCGGAAGACCCTCGGCGAGGCGCAGCCGCTGGAACGCACCCCGAGGCTGGAGACCCGCCGAGTTCCCCCGACGCCGCGCGAAGACCTCGAGCCTCTCGAGCCTCGAGCCCGAACAAAGAAACCCTCGCTCGCCGTCGAACGTGAGAGCGGCCCTGCGCCGGAGTGGCCTTCCGTGCGGGCCCACTCGGGGGCCCTCCGACCTCGGAGCGCGGTGCGACAGCATCGGCGTGCGCCGCTCGTCGAGCCGCGCACCAAAGGTCACGACGACGGCGGCGCCGACGACGAAGGCCACGAGGACGACGACGAAGACCACGAGGACGACGACGACGCCGACGACGAAGGCCACGAGGACGACGAAGACGACGAAGACCACGACGACGACGACGACGACGACGACGACGACGACGACGACGACGACGAGGACAAGGACGGGGTCACTCCTGCGGGAACCTGATCCCTGCTGTTCTTCGTGCTGACTGTGAGGATTTCGTGCATCCCGGGGGGAGGGTAGCCCTCGAGTGGGCCCGAGAGGGGGATGCTGGCAAGGGAGGGCGTGGACATCATGACTGGGGCCACGGCTTCTCCCGGGATGCCATGCCCACCCCCCCCTTCTGGACGCCCGCCCTTTTTGGATGCCCCCCTTTCCTTCTTGCATCAGGTCGGGCATGCCCCTCTACAGGAGGAATAGTCAAGAGTAGTAAATGGGCACGACCTTTTTGACTATGCTGGGCTATTCTTGAGAATGTTTTGCGTCGCTTTAGTTGTGCGTCCAAAATCCGCCTAGGGGGACATGCCCGACTAGTTCTTGCAATGCGTTCCCTGGCCTTCCCCCCTCTCGGACGCCCCCCTCTTGGACGCTCCCGCCTTCGCCTTTCAAGCTGTCTCCTGGCCCTCCCCCCTCTGGGACGCCTCCCTCCTGGACCTCCCGAGGGAGCTGCCGCCATCCCCGCCCCCCCCCCCCCCCCCCCCCCCCAGGGCTCGCTTCGATCCTCCGATCTGATTCGATTCGACTTCGATGGCTCCCGATTCCGATTCGACTCGACTTTGGATTCCGATGTGGATTCCAATTTCTGATTGGACGCACACCAGCCCGACTCGGCTGCCGATTTCCGCCGATCCGATTCGTGTTGATTTCCGATCCGACTTGTCGATTCGATTCTGGGCGTTCCTGGCGGAGGACCAGCGCAACCTCAAGACGCATCAACACTGATGAAACAAGCCCTCCCTCCAACTTCCCTCTTCGCAGGTCCATGCAAGGATGACTCCTCATTGCAAGACGTGGCCCATTGAAAGACAACCGTCCGAAGAGCTCAAGAGAAGGAAGGATGTCACTCCCTCAGGCTCCCAAACTGGGAGATGCCTCGCCAGGACAAGGAAGAAACACATATACCAACTGTTTTATACCATAGAGATGATCGGATTCGGGACCACTCAATTTTCTAAATGATGTGACGATCGTATAGTATACCACAATTTTGCTCTCTGGACGTCAACGCCGCGAATCAGCGTGACTGTTATATCCTGACATTCCTGCATCGTACTAAGACACAGTTCCTGGACATCAGCACCGCGAATCCACTTTACCGTTGCGCCCTGGCAATCCTAAATCGTGCCATGATTTCATTCCTGGGATTTCAATCATGCGAACCCTATGAAATTGCCGCAAACTTTGAAGACGAATGTGCGCGGCGCTAAGGCGATACCGACATTTTGAAAAAAAGGAGCAGGCCTCCATCCTTATCCCTATTGCAATGTTTTAAGACGAGTGCGCGCGGCGTTAAGGCGAGAGGCCTATTTTGAAAGCGGCCTGCCCTCCATCCTTGCACCAGTTGCAAGCTTTAAAGACGAATGCGCGCGGCGGTAAGGCGAGAACGTAATTTTGAAAATGGCGCACCCCCCATGCTTGAAACTGTTGCTGATTCCAAGCGTCAGGGCCATAGGAGGTGAGGAAGTCTCGTGCGAAACGCCAGGCCTAGCCCAATGGAAAGGTCAAGGGGTGCGACAGGGAGGAGCTATTTTGAGGAAAAGGGATGGAGGAGGGGAAGGGATGATGAGAAAGGGAGGGGGATGAGGAGGAAGGGGGGGGGATGGGGAGGCGGGGGGGGGGGGGGTGAAGAAGGGGAGGAGGGAGGAGAATACGCGAGGAGGGGGAGAGGGAGCAGGGGGCTTGGACGGAGCGGAAGGGACAGAAGGAAGGGGAAGGATAACGACGGAGCGGGCGCATGCTGGAGGGAGGAGGAGGGGGAGGGGGGAGGGAGCCCTCCCCAGACATGATCGCGTCGTCGAAGAATCACGGCGGGAGGCGTTTCATCGTTCTCTGCTTCTCGGACAGTCCACAACAACCCGACTCGGGAGGACAAGCTGGTCCAGGGGAGAGGGTCGGGGTTTCCGGGGTCGCCGTGCGGAGAGCAGCAGGACGTCGCATGTGTCTGGGTCTCCCCCTCCTGCCAGGGAGGCCGCAGCAAGCCCCCTCCCCCTTCCCCCTCGGGGCGCCCCTTCGGCGTGCCACTCGCCACCCGGCTGCGCTGGCCCGTGGGCCCTCTTCGGGCGGGGCTGGGATTAAGCCGGGCCTGTCCCTCTACAGGAGGAGTGTTCCGAAATAGTCAAAACATAGTCTGGGGACGATTTTAGTCTTATTGTTGTGCCTTTGTCCCCACCGAACAGGTTGGGGTCGCTAGATTTTAAGAACAGACCTCCCGGCCACTCCCACCCTGCATACCGCGGCCGCCCGACACCAAGTTGTCCCGAGTGTCCCGTTTATTCCGCCTCGCGCCTTCGACAAACAGGACAGAACACACCTTGCATACCGCTTCCGCCAGACCCCAAGTTGTCCCGAGTGTCCCGATTATCCCGCCTTGCGCCCTCGACAAACATGACAGAACACATCCTGAATACCGCGGCCGCCAGATCCCAAGTTGTCCCGAGTGTCCCGGTTATCCCGCCTCTCGCCCTCGACACACGACAGAACATACCCTGCATACCGCGGCCGCCAGACCGCAAGTTGTCCCGAGAGTCCTGGTTATCCTGCCTCGCACCCTCGACAAACACGACAGAACACACCCTGCATACCGCGGCCGCCAGACCGCAAGCTGTCCCGAAAATCCCGGGTATCCCGCCTCGCGCCTTCGGCAAACACGACAGAACACAATATGACACAAGAGAACATGACAGAACAGAGCAAGAGCATGACAGAACATGGCAGAACATACCATATCAATAGCATGGCATACTAGAGGACACCAGTCCATCACACAACATACCATTTCATAACATGACATACCATAACACGACGTAACACAACATAATACTACATAACCGATCATGGCATACGACGCATTGATATAACATGGCATATCATGACTCAGCGTCACCAAACATATCATAATACGACAGCAGAGCATAGCGGCGATCACGCCAGAACACAACATGCCACACCATATGATGCCATAACATAACACGAGCATGTCATAGCATGGCATATCATAACCCAGCATTAGCATGACACACAATAGCATCATAAAACCCCACTTAACACATACTATAAACTGATGGTAGAACAGAAGGCGACATAACACAACATACCATACCAACACCGAGGAACCCATAAGATATATCATTGCACTTCATCGCATATTATACCATGACGCGACAGTATAGCATATCGCCACATACTAGCATAGCAGGCCATCCTATATTATAACATCAGCTTGCGACCTGGCCCGGCCGCCGCGCTGGCCGACGCCGCCGGGCACTGCGCACATCCTTCCAGTAGGCGCGCGCACCGTTTGGACCAAACGCCGAAGGTTTCGGTGGGGATCGCTCGAGGCAAAACAATTGCTGCGTTTCTTTACTATTCTTTATTTGTCGTCCAAAATCCGCCTGTTGGGGGACGTGCCCGACCGACGGGTAGGCCGAGGAGAGATCCGTTCCAGAGCGTTCCTTCAGGGCCGCGGTACCCGAGACATCCTCCAGAGCCGCCAGATCTCGCAGAGGTTCCCGACCTGTCCCCACCCGGTTGTATCCTCGTCCTGGTTTCGTCTCGCCTCTCTGGGATGGTCGGTCCTCGCCGCGCGCAGTCCAAGCACGCAGCCCCCCCCCCCCCCCCCTCGGGCGCGCAGTCGGCGAAGACGTACACGGGCGAGGAGGTCACGGTGAACCCGCTCGCAGCGGTGGCAGCCGCCTCGCGCTCCCCCTTGCTCTCTCCTTCTGCGGCGCGGACGTGGGGGGGCGAGGAAGAGGATGAGGCTGGAGGGCCAAGGAGGAGGAGGAGCGGGACTAGGAGGAGGAGGAGCAGGACTAGAAGGAGGAGGAGGAGGAGGAGGAGGGGATGAACAAGATTGAGGATGAGCTTGCAGGGTAATGAGGAGGGGGAGGGGGAGGAGGAGGAGGAGGAGCAGGAGGAGGAGGACAAGTCTAAACCCAATACGCATCAATGATTTTCAAGTTTTCTCTTCATAGGTCCCCATAAGATGTTCTTTTCATTGCGGGCAGTACCCTATTGGACGACAACTTGTCCAGAATTCGCAATCATGTCAAAACGTAATTCCTGGGACTTCAGCGCCGCGAATCAATGAAGGGTCGGGAGATGAGGAAGCAATGACAGGGGAAACGCAACGAGGAAAGGCATTAGAGGATGGCGAGACGGGAGGACCAGAGAGGGAGGATGAGGACAGATGGATCAGGATGAAGGCGAAGAGAGAGAGAGAGGAAAAACGAACACGGAAAAGGGAAGGACGAATGAGGAGGCTCATCGAGGAAGAGGAATCATATCGAGAAGGTGAGCGAAGGAGAGGGAGAGGGAGATGATAGGGGGAGCAGGAGGAGCGAGCAGGAGGCAGGGAGGACACCGAGGGGGGACGAAGGATGCACGAGGCGGCACAGGGAACTGGGACCCTAGAAGGAGCCAGGGAGGGAGGAGGCAGGCAGGCACGACGACGGGCGAGAGGAGGCAGGGGAGGACCGCCGGGGAGGGCGCGAGCGGTGTGTGGAGCTTCGTTCGGGGGTGCCACGGCGGCGCGGCGGGCGACCCCGCTGCTGCCGTCTGGGGGGAGAGTCGGAGGAGGTGGGCGACGATGGCCAGGAGAGGAGCAGGTACCGGTAATCACCGCTACCCTCGCCTCGTTCTCTCTTTTTGGGGGGGGGCTCCTGGGTGGCCCTCGTCGCCACCGCTGGATTCGCCTCGAGATTCTGGTCAGAACGCACCCCGGGAGAGGTCCGGGGAGTAGCGGCATTTTTACCTTTTGATCTCCCCAGATGATCGGGGGCGGCAAAGAGGGGGTTGATGACGAAGGGGGGGTGGATCTCATGGCGTGGGCCACGATATCTCCCCAGATTTCATGGCGCCTCTTCTTATTTCATGACGTCCCTGGCCCCCCCTTGGGCCGCGCACATGCCGCAGGCCACGATTTGCGCCCCCCCCGCTTGGCCGCCCCCGAGAGGAACAGCTAGGGACTCCTCTTCCCAGAGGGCTCGCCCGGAGCGGCACAACGAGGAAGGGCGTGGTGTCGGGCACACCGTGGGGAGAGCCGACGTCTGTAGAGGGCGGCGCGTGGAAAGGACCAGGGTATGCGTTTTACTAGGATCACGGCGCGCGAGACATCGCATTGCTGAGTGTCTGGGAAGAGGGTCAGAGGAGGAAAAGGCACCCATACCTCTGAGCGTTCCTCGTTTTCCCCTTTTTGGGGCCTCGGAGGCCCTCGTCGCCACCGCTGGATTCGCCTCGAAATTCTCGTCCCCCAGGAGGTCTGGGGAGTCGCGGTATCAGTACCGGGGAGCCTGGTCGGAGCAGCTGCTTGGCGTGCCCCGGGGACTTCAGACGAAGCCATGTCGCGCGGACAACACATGCAGGTCGTGCGAGTTTCCAAGAACAGAGAACCGCATGAACATACGTTTGCGGAGATCCGCGCGGCTGTTCCTCATCGGCGCGGATCTTCGAACATTAATGTCCATGCTGTTTTCTTGTTCTTCTAATTGTTGCTGCGCACGTGCTGGTCGAGGAAATGCCATCGATACCCAGCGAGGGCGACGCTGTCAACGGTTCGGAGGGTCGGTGACGAGGCCAAGTGCCGAACCAACGCTGATAGCAGGTTCGTCGGTCTGCAAACCAGTTGCTGGCATCCGCCTGGCCTCGTTCTCAGACGCTCCCGCTCGCCGATGCGGCGCGCGAAGCCCACTTCTTCCAGCGATCACAAAAGTTCCGTGCCGTTTCGGTCTCGTGATCCCGGAGACGAGGCGGAGGAGGAGGAGGAGGAGGATGAGGAGGAGGACGACGAGGAGGAGGAGGTGGTGGAGGAGGAGGAGGAGTCTCTTTCTCTCGGCGCGCCGATGGTGCGAGTATGACGTCAAGTCACTGTAGTCTCAGCGTCCGCGAGGGCCGGCGCGCGAAGAGCGAGCCCAGGTGCGCTTTCTCACGGGCAGAGCGCCCGAGAGCACGTGGTCTCTACGCTGCGAGCAGCCAGGCGCACGAGATTATCGCCGCTCTCCTCCTCCTGCTCCTCCTCCTGCTCCTTCTCCTTCTCCTCCTCCTCCTCGTGCTCCTCCTCCTCCTGCTCCTCCTCCTCCTCCTCCTTTTCCTTCCCACGCCCAGATCAGCTGTTGGGCATGGGCAGTGGACGGCAC